GGGGGGTTGACGCCCAGGCGGGCGGGCGGCCGGGCGGGTGGCGCTTGCGGCGCGGCCGCGGTATAGTCTTGACCCCCTGATGACTCCCAATTGGACGATGCGGAGCGCGGCGAGCCAATGTCAGATCTAGGAGCACGAGGAATGCAAAGGCCGGGCAGCCCTAGGCGCCCGCCAGGGGCCGCGCACCACAGACATCCTCTGGAGCGATCGTTATCAGCGAACACGGTTATTGCACAACTTGGGTGGCCGCTGTTTCCTACCTGACCGGCACTCGGACACCGCCCCCGCTCCCATGGCCTTTGGCGGCCTTGCCGGGGCATTGATCTGTTCGTTCAGTTGGCGCGCCCCGCCCGTGGCGCCGTTTTGGGCGGAGCCCCTGCGGAGTCGGCAGTCCCGCCGGGCGCGGCTGCCGGGCGGCGGCCTACCTCACCGTTGTCGGGGGCTCTCCGCCCGCTCCGCGCAGGGCCGCAGGACCACTCCACAGCTCGGCCATGGCGGAGTAGGGGTGGGGGCGGGTGGTTGGTTGGTCGGTCGGTCGGTCGAGGGCCGAAATGCGCATGGGATGCGTAAACTGGCGTAAAAAAAGACGAATCAACTCGAAAGTAGATATAGGTAACAAAACATTTTCGGAAAGGGGTAGGTACAAGGATTATTAATCTCGAATGATATTGGCACCTTGTGAAGCCAAGTGTTGACATTAAGAGGTTTCGAAAGACGATTCAGCTCTAAGTTACGACGGCCGTTTTAAAGTTGTTTCTCTTGTTTAGAGACGTCGTAGACTCTAACAGAATCCGAGCCGATTATTTGCTTGACTTTCAGCTTTCTGGTCGAATTTTTAAAATTTATGTCCGACGCCTGGTTTTCGAGAACGAAGCGTTTTTAAGCTAGCAACGGCGCGGCAGAGCTTGGGATCCGTGCGCGGAGCTGGGCGCCCGCGTCTGCTGGTCTGCACGGGAAACGTACAGGTTCGGCCCGCCGAGCGACTGGGTCCGCACCGCACGGGAAAAGCACGCGAAAGGCACAGATTTGCACGCGTCTGCACCGAGAAGCCATAGCTTTCGCCTTTCCAAATATGTACGGTTACATGCATTTTTGAGTTGATTCGGCTTTGTTACGCGTTGTATTCCATGTACATCTCGGTCCTCGACAAAGTGCATAAGAACTAGAACCCCCAATCAGGCAGACAGAGACGGTGCCGAGATAAGGTCCCATAACGAAGGGCGGAAGGCCTTTGCCCCTGCGTGGAATAATTCACCGAATTTGGGCTACTGGGGCAATGACTGGCGTCGATTGGTGCTATCGCAGTGGCGGCTATCGGGCCACGGCGATCGTTCTGGAGCTGCACCGCATGCAGTGAGAGTGCAGTGAGATAAGTCTACCACCCGTGAGACTACGATCAAACTACAATACTGCATAACAATTATTGGCCACCTGGGCGATAATAAGCAATGGTGCCAGTTAGTTGAGCTTTGTTTCTCTTAAATCAAATCGTCAGTGCAGTTCTGCGAAAGTACTTGTATCGAGCGTCCTCCTCTCCGATATCGCATCCCGATCACGCGCCCCCGCTTTTGTCGGCGTCTAGTTATCTATGCCGTCTCGTCCGGCCCGGCCTCGAGCCCGGCGAGAGCCCGGCAATGCTTGGTGGACTTAGCTGATCCTCGTTATGTAACAAGGAGCGATACGGGATATGCTCGGTCCTCGGCCCTCGGGCGCCTGTAACCTGACGTGTCGCCATAAACGATCGGCATATTCGTAACGCTACATGTTACGTGATTAACGGTATTTGTTATCTTTTAAAACACAGATTCTTGATCTTGCCAGAATTCACATGACAAGGTGACCAAGGACGACGCCGCGCCATGGGGGCTTTCGATGACTTTTGCGGCTCGCCGTACTGGGTGAGTGGCGCGAGACACTGCTCGTACCAACCATGCCCCTCTCCCTTTTTCATAAAAACACGTACTTTAATAAAAAGAACTACACCCCCCACCCCGTCCGTTGACCGTCCGCGCTCATCCCACCTGTCAACGTTGACGGCCGTGTGCTTCCCTGCAGAACACGACGCGCACCTGGGAGTCGGACAACCCCGACTTCACGCCGTGCTTCGAGAAGACCGCCCTCGCGTGGACTCCGTGCATCTTCCTGTTTGTCTTCTCGCCCCTCGAGGTCTACTACATCCGCAGCAGCGTCAACGGCGAAGTCAGATGGAACTGGCTCAACTTCTCCAAGCTGGTGAGCTTCCCCGCCCGCTCTATGGACGGATGCAACAACTGCGTAGCCCGACTACATGATGGCCTCGATCCCGCAGGTACTCAACGTCCTGGCGCTCCTCTTGAGCGCCGCAAGCCTGGGCGGCGCCATCGGCAACCCAGACGACTCCTTCGCCGTGGACTATGTGACCCCCGTCATCAGGATGGTGTCGTTCGTGAGTAGACGCGTCTCTTTGCTACTGTCTCGAGGTTGACGCGTGGGCTCCGTGCCTCAAGGTGCCGCTCTTGATGCCCCGCAGGCGTGGGCCGCCTTCCTGCTCGCATGGAACCGCAGCCGCGGCCTCCGGACGTCGGGGCTCCTCACGCTCTTCTGGTTCCTCACGGCACTCTTCAGCGTCGCCGAGTTCCGCACCGAGATCAACACGGAGACGAGCGAGGTAGCGACGATTGAGGGTTGGAGAAAAGAGCGGGTTGGGGGAGTGTTTCCCCATCTCGTTCCACACGATGTTGATGTGTGCTATGTTTAAACCCCTATAGCGCACGGAGTCTGAGCGCGGTCAGCTGCCGTTCGTGCTCACCATGATCCTCTTCCCCGCGCTGGTGCTCATCTTCCTCTTAAACTGCCTGGCGGACTACGAGCCCGTGTCCTCCCCGTTCACCAAAGTTGAGGTAGGCTCACCCGAACGGAGCCGCAGCGCAGCACTCCTGATGCTGGGTCGCACGGTGATTTAAAAAAATGCTTCGCAGGACCGCTGTCCCGAGTTCGACGCCTCCTTCGTGAACAAAATCTTCTTTGTCTGGTACGATAAACTGGCTTGGAAGGGGTACAAGAGGCCGCTCGAGGAGAGGGACCTCTGGGAACTCAACCCCATGGACTTGTCGTCCGGCGTGCTGCCAAAATTCTTCTCGCACTGGAACAAGCAGAACAAGAAGGCGGACGCGTAAGTTGGCCATGAGCTTACCCTGCAGGGTCATGACCCCGCTGTCACTCTCGCTCTCGCTCTCACCGCCACAGGCACATTCACGCTCTTGTCTCGTTTCTCGCAGGAAGGCATTCGCGACGGGTCAGCCCAAGAAGCTCGTGTCGGTGCTGCCCGCGCTGTTCCGCTCGTTCGGTGGACCGTTCCTGTTCGCGGCCGCCATGGAGCTGGTCGGAGACATGCTGGTGTTCGTCAGCCCACAGATCCTCAAGCGGCTGATGGCCTTCACAACGGACCTGGAGCAGCCGCTGTGGAAGGGCATGGTGTACGCGGTCGCCATGCTCGTCACCGCCCTGTTCCAGTCCCTCCTCCTGTCGCAGTACAACATTCGCATGAACATCGTGGGCATGCGAGTCCGCACGGCGCTGGTCGCCGCCATCTACCGTAAGGTAACCACGTACATGAAGCACGCAGTGATCCCTTAAGACTGCCCCTGCTGACGCCTACTCGTTCCTCCAGTCCCTGCGCATGTCCAACGTGGCCCGGAAGGACAAGACGGTGGGCGAAATCGTGACGCTGATGTCGGTGGATGCTCAGCGCTTCCTGGACATGGGTGGGCTCATCACCATGGTCTGGTCGTCTCCGCTGCAGATCATCGTGGCCCTCTACTTCCTCTGGGACATCCTCGGTACGTCACAGGACCGACCCTCGACCCGGGACACCAGGACCAGGAGGCGGTTCAATCGGAATTTCACGCAAACTCAACCGACGTCTTTCCGCCATTTGCAGGTGTCGCAGTGCTCGCTGGACTCGCGTCCATGATCCTGCTTATTCCAGTCAATGGCTGGATCGCAAACAAGATGAAAGTGCTCCAGATCAAACAGATGAAGAACAAAGACGAACGAGCCAAACTTATGAATGAGGTCAGCGTTGCGTTCTAATCTAGCTATAATGTACCGGGTGTAACTGTGAATACGCAGCAGTTATGCGGGAGTGCATACTCAGTATGGGCGCAGGGGCCGTGGCCCCTTACGGGTGTAAAGAGTAGGCAAACCCGCAACACTTCTGCGTATTCACAGTTACGCCCAGTACAGACATTGAAATGTTTGCAAACGAAGAGTTTCTTTTTGCAGATTTTAAACGGCATGAAAGTGCTCAAGTTGTACGCGTGGGAACCCCCCTTTGGCGAGAGAATCAACCAAATCCGACTAAAGGAGATGGACGTTCTGAAAAAGTCTGCCTACTTGCAGGCGGGAATTTCCTTTGCCTTTACCGTCGCGCCGTTCTTGGTGAGTCAAATGCCCAAGGGGTGCTGTCGTTACCAGTTAAGACGCCCACCTATACGTATCGTTCCTTAATGTCCAGGTGACCCTCGTCTCCTTTACGACATTTGTCCTGATAGACAAGAACAACATCTTGGACGCGCAGACGGCCTTTGTGTCACTGTCTCTGTTCAACATTCTGCGCTTCCCCCTGGCTATGCTGCCTATGGTCATCATGATGGTGGTGCAAGCCGGCGTGTCCATCAAGCGTATCGACGAATTCTTGAACGCACCCGACTTGGAGGAGGACAGCGTGCGCCACGACGTCGAACAGGCAACAAGCAAGTCCCACATTTGACTCGTACCGGGGTGTATCAGAGCATCAGAGCACGCTGCCTGCAGTGTTGCAGGTGTTGCAGATTTGCCTACTCCCTCCGTCCGTAAGGCGCCATGGCCCCTGCGGCCCGAGAAGATAGGCAATCCCGCAACACTGCAACGTCGGCTCTGATACACTCGCTGTAGTATACCGGGTGGCCGACTCACGCCGCGTACGTTCGCAGTAAGACTGCACCGCGTACAAGGGAGCGGGTGGGTTTGCTTATACCGGGTGATTCAGAGCACCCGGTACTCGCTATCGACCCCACCACGGCTCCTTGCGGCCCCGTGCGAGTAGGCAACCTGTCCGCGCGCGTGCGTGCGGTACAGTGCAACTACGGAAGTGCGCGGTGTGGGCCAGCCACCTAGTACAAGTATACATGTCCACGACTTTTTGAAAACGTTCTCATTGTATCGTTGTCACCGCCCCTAACCCTCAGGAGACCGCTGCCCCATGAGTGTGAAGGACGGAACGTTCGCATGGGGGCCCGGCGAGGAGCCCGTCCTCAAGAACATCAACATGTCTGTGTCCAAGGGCAGCCTCGTGGCCGTGGTGGGCTCCGTGGGCGCGGGCAAGACTTCGCTGCTGTCGGCGCTGCTCGGCGAGCTGGAGAAGCAAAGCGGCGACGTCAACTCGGTGGTGCGTACTGGGGGACTTGGGCCTCGCCGGCGTCGCCGTGGACCCCACTAACACCTCTGCTCGCAGGGCTCCATCGCGTACGTGCCGCAGCAAGCGTGGATCCAGAACGCCACGCTCAGGGACAACATCCTCTTCGCCAAGCCGTACGACGCGCACCAGTACGCCAAGGTCGTGGATGCGTGCGCACTCAAGCCCGACCTGGCCATGCTTGCCGGTGGAGATCAGACGGAAATCGGCGAGAAGGTAAATTGGTCTTGCTGGTCGCGACCAGAGTGACGATGCTGTCGCTATGCCCTGGTGGTGACTACACCCGTGTGTTCTAGGGCATCAACCTCAGCGGCGGCCAGAAGCAGCGCGTGTCCCTCGCCAGAGCCGTGTTCAACGACGCGGACATTTACCTCCTGGACGACCCCCTGAGCGCGGTGGACAGCCACGTCGGCAAGCACATCTTCGACCAGGTCATCGGCCCCACGGGGCTGCTCAGACAGAAGGTGGGTGTTCGCATAGGACGATGGCGACGCACCATCCGTCTCCCCCACTGACATGAAGCCTGTATTCGTGTTGGCAGACCCGGGTGCTGGTGACCCACGGCATCGCCTACCTGCACCGAGTGGACCACATCGTGGTGCTCAAGGATGGTACCATCAGCGAAGAGGGCAACTACCAGGAGCTGATGAAGAACAAAGGCGCCTTCGCCGAGTTCCTCGTGCAGCACCTCCAGGAGGCGGAGGAGGTCGACGACGAGGTCGCCGAGGACCTTCAGGAGATCAAGGCGCACCTGGAGAAGGCGGTCGGCAAGGAAGAGCTGCAGAGGCAGATCTCGCAGGCCTCGCTCATCAGCAGTGAGGGCATGCGGTCCCGGAAGGGCTCGGTGGCCAGCGGCTCCAGGAAGGGCTCGGTGGGAGGCTCTCTGATCCGGTAGGACAATTTGGATTACAGCTTGATTATCATCTTTTACGCTATGATCATTGATCTACAATAAACACGACCAGGCACGGGTCGGGACGGCGGCGCTCGAGCGAGCTCAAGCCCAGCGAGCTGCCCCCAAAGGTCGACGAAGTGATCGGGCAGAAGCTGACCGAAGTGGAGACCATGGAGCTGGGCAGCGTGAGTATGCTTATGGACCAGGACCAGGCGGCTGACTGGCTCCGCCCACTTTCGCTGCGTGCGGGTTGCCTATGTTCGCTCAGAGCAACAAGGAGTAATCATCGGAGACGCACGCAGACATGCGGTACATCATAATTTCGAAAGTGGGCGAGGCCAATCGTCACGTGGGGCTGTGCTTAAACCACCTGACGTTAGTGGTGGGGATCCACTCTATGTAATCCCAAAAGTCTAAGGACGGTCATCGGAGTCGATAGGAGCTCCATAATGTTTGTATTCCGGGGTACAAATATCATGGGGCCCGTATGGGCTCTAATGTGTACGTCATGTTACTTTGGTTGGAAACATCACAATGTTTTCCCCCTCCCCGCCCCCCTAAAGTCACGTGGTTTGGGCACAGCTCTTCCCTAAAGACAATGTTGCCTACCTTACCTTATCGAAGAACGCTCTCGACCCGCCCATTCCTTTTCCAGGTCAAGCTGAAGGTGTACTGGCACTACATGCGGAGCATCGGCCTCATGCTGTCCGGCCTCACGATCCTCTTCAACGTGTGCCTCCAGGTGCGATGCTACGGGGCTTAGTGCGACTGTGCACTGATACAACCTTGCTAAGGATTCGTCTGCTTGGTTAGCCTACGAAGGCATTTCTCCGCAACTAAGCAGCACGACTATTGTAGTGTCGGGGTAATATGTACGCTCTGTTTATTGTAGGGCTTTTCCATCGGTTCGAACGTTTGGGTTGACAAGTGGACTGATGACGCGAAGATGTACCAACCTAACCTACCCGACTTTGAGTCGACGCGGAACACCTACCTGGGAGTGTACGCTGCCTTCGGTGGCGCGCAAGGTAACACCGACGATGGAAGTTTGACTGTGGGACTTGGCTCTGTTTGAAGTGCGTGTTTACGTGGCGAGTGCAAACATGTAACCGCGCGGCCCGTCTCAGAACGGACCCTACTCACTACTCCCCCCTTTTTACTCCACCCCCCCCCCCAAAGAAAAAGAGAGAAAAAGGTAATAATCCATTTTCCGTTCCTGCCACTAGGGTCTCGGTCTAGGGTCCCTTCGATGATCACTGAAAGGTGTAGAAAGTAAAGCTTGGATTTGCGTTTAACGCGCTTTAACCAGCCGGAGAGTAACCTCTACACCACGCCTTTCTCGCAGCCATCTTCAGCATGACCAGCTCGTACGTGTTCGCCATTGGCTGTATCGCCTCCTCGATGGACCTCCACAACAGGATGTTCCGACGTATTCTCAGGTGCCCCATGTCCTTTTTCGACATGACGCCCATCGGCCGCATCTTGAACCGCTTCACCAAGGACATCGACAATGTCGACAACGTTCTGCCCTTGCAGATCCGACAGGCCCTCAACCTCCTATTCTCCGTGAGTCGAATGCTCGGGCTCGGACGCCCTCCACTATCGCACTTACTTGCAACTGTCGGGTGTCATGCCATCTCTCTATCTCTACCCGTCTCTGCCCACAGTGCGTGTCGACGCTGGTGGTGATCTCCATCAGCACGCCGCTCTTCATCTCGGTCATCATCCCGCTCGGCATCGTCTACTTCTTTGTCCAGCGCTTCTACGTATCCACGTCCCGCCAGCTCAAACGGCTGGATGGCGTCTCCAGGTCCCCCATCTACTCGCACTTCAGCGAAACGCTGACTGGAAGCTCGTCCATCCGGGCGTACGGCGCCGTCGACCGGTTTATCGAGGAGGTGGAGTCCAGGGTGGACAAGAACCAGAAGTGCTACTTCCCCGTGGCCGTGGCCAACAGATGGCTGGCGGTGCGCCTGGAGACGGTGGGCAACTCCCTCATCTTCTTTGCAGCACTCTTTGCCGTCCTCCGGCGCGGAGACATCAGCGCCGGCAGCGTCGGGCTGTCCATCAGCTACGCGCTGCAGATCACCCTGGCGCTCAACTGGCTCGTGCGCTTTGTGTCCGAAGTGGAGAACAACATCGTGTCGGTGGAGCGTATCAAGGAGTACGAGGAGACTCCCCAGGTCAGTCGCGGCCGCCACTACTTGCCCTTCCCCTTTCCCTCCTACCTCCCCAAAACACCTCTTTTCTACCGCTCTTCCACCTTCCACCTCCACCCCCACCTCACCCCACGTCCACCCCCAC